TAGGGGAATGATTGTATGACTGTTAAGCCTACGATAGCCTTTCTGTGTTTAATACTTTATGTTGGAGCCAAATGAGGTGTTTGTTTTGTGTGATGCTATTTTCCTTATGGTTGTGTGTTGGCCCTCTACTGGGCACTATGTGTAGCCTGGGCAGATGCTGTGGTTAAGACAAGGCTCCAGGTGAGGTGGGACAGGTGATTGAATGGAGGCAAACAGTTTTTTTTACCGTGTCAGCCTGTCGGAGTTAAATGCATCCAACGCGGATTTGTTTGTTTATTTATAGACAGTGGTTCGTCATATGTTCCTTTATTGATAAGAAGTGTTTAAAAATAAATGGATTGAAATATCCAAATCAAATCATTAATGGACTGAGTTAATTTCTTTGAGCTAAGCACGCGTCCGAAAGCTTCCACATTCATCCCTCAAGTGACTTTTCTAAACAATATTGGGTTTGTTAAAATTGGTCACTACACTTTAGGTTAAAGAAACATGTAGCTTACCTTTTATTTATTTAAATATTATAACCTATTACATTACTGTACAGTGTTTTTTATGTTATAGAGGTAAGATGAAGCATTCAGATTTGTGTTCCTTAAGTATATATTCTGCTATTCTTTTTCTTATAGAAAACCACAACAAGACCCAATACTCTGTCATATTGAATGGCCACTGAGATGCCTGTATTTTGTTTCACTACAAGAGAAGAAGTAAACAGCCATTCAACCAATTCTGCACTCGTTATTCATATTCTGGAATAAGGCATGAAGTGGTGTTCTGGCCGACACACCTGAGTGAATCCAGTGAAAAGCAGCAGACTAATGTCCCAACTGAGTTTAGTTTTATTATCTTCATTACACTAATAGTTATTTTCCAACATGTACAGGCTCATTATCTCATTCCCCTGCTGGCGTCTCACTCTACAAATATTCCTTGCAATCTCTGTTTTCAACCCATGGTAGTCATACTAATGTTGCACAACTAATTGTGAACTGTTCCTGATATGAGGTTTGGCCATAATCACATTATGAAAGTCTGAAATTATTAAAAAATAAATGAATAAAAATTAATGCGTTTTAGTTAACAAACAATACTTCTTACTTGGCATGCTCACATGTTAACTCGATTGTCACCGAGTTTAAAATCACCACTCTGTTATAAAATGTTCTTCAAATAGATAAGCTGAAGCCAGATCAAACTAAAAGCAGCGCTTGACAATTCATGCAAACAAGATCATCACTTAGAAATAGACTATTTGAAGTGATTAAATGCCTGGAAATGTCAATGTAGATAAAGAATTTAACAGACTGGAAGTGATTTGCTCATTTTAAACCATGTAACAGCCAGAATATCACTAATTTAAAAAGGAAAAAAAAAGCACCACAAGGTGGTGTACTGTATGTTTTAGTTTTAATGACAGAAAGTTGTTATTCTCTGACAGCCATCTTGCAGGCATGTAAGACGGGAGAACACTCGAATTCAGCGATTAGTTGGTGCAGGGCAAGTCTTTATTACTGCTAAAGTATAAGCACATTTAGCACAGCATGATATTAGAGCTGGTTATTGTCCACAACCTCACGATTCGATTTCGATTCTTTGGGTCACGATTCGATATTGATCAATATGCTTTGATATCGATTCAACATTACACATAGGTGAGAGAAATACTGAGATCACAGTACCTTCTTATATTTGTTAAATAATTATGTTTATATTTGTTTGAAACAAACTGACTCAAAAAATTGAATTTATATTTGCATTACTCTAGAATAAAACATGAAAATACAGTATGTGCTAAAGTGCAAAAATGTGCCTGACTTGAATTCACAGCACCCACAGTGCCCCCAGTGGAGGGGGGTGGAATTACATTCGAAATTCAAAGCACTCACAGTGCCCCCAAGTGGAGTGGGGTGTCAGTACAACGAAGAAAAAAAATCGATCCCAGGATTCCTTGAATCGATATTGAATTGGGTTAATACATGCTCAATTCAAACCACGAACCTCTACAACAATCAAAAGCTACAGAGAGACCAACTGTACCAAACAACAATACCAGCTACAAATAATTCACGGGTTCATAATGTTTTATGCTTTTTATTCTCTGCACAGGTTTAGGTTCATTCTCAGACAATGTACATGACTGCATGAAAGTTTCAGTACTTGCAATAGACTGGTTTCTGTTTTGTTTGTGATGTTCTTAAGATGTTACCCAACCCCGATGTTACCCCGATGTCCTTAAGATTCAAGAGATGATTGATTTTTTTTTTTCCATTGAAAGGCACAGTGTGAGATCAAAGCATTCTTAACTTGCCCATACCCAAGCCATGTACGGCACCAATAAAATGAAATTAAGGTTTGAATTCAAATTTATTCTACAGTTTCAATTCAGTATAAAATACATAACAAGGCTATCTTAGAGAGTCGTGACTTTTTCAGATAATGGAAATGGTTACTACAGTAATTCCTATAAATGACTCAAATCTGAAGTTTCAGTAAAGTTTGAAAATACAACCATCAAATGAAATTGCACAGTTACAACATAGAGGCAACAACTCTACCAACTGAGCCACAGCCGCCAAGAAAATGCTTGATTCTTGCCTCGGTATTCAACTTTCACCATGACGTGCCACAGTTAAAAACCATTGACCTTCTTTGTGCACAACACCTGCTGCTAATCAGCATTGTTTAAATAAGTTTCCGTTGCCTCGTTTTAAAGTGCCACCCCATAGCCCAATAACCAAAACACCAAAAATGGCCCCAACACCCACTAAAGTGAACTTCGAGATGTTCAACGGTCCGGGGTTTCCTTCTTCGCTGGGGTCTGTAGGGTCCAGGTAATTGCAGCTTACCTGGACCCTACCACACTTTGATCAATAAAACAGTGAAGCAAAAGCTATTTAATTTAGAAAACTACCACAAAGCTACTGGAACATGTAGTTAAACAATTAAAGCAGGTATTTGTAGTGCTTTTACTGACCAACACTGCATTTTGATTAGAATTATTTATATTAACGGACTTGGCTGAGCTGATTAAACAGTGGGCATGCTATAGCTGTTTGTCAGGAGGCTTAAGGCCCGCCTCAGCTCCAGCTCTTTGCCTTTTAAGCCCCTGCAGTAAATTTGAGACACATTTTCCAATATGGCGACCCCATTGATTGGCTTCAAATGCTTGTATTAGAAACCAATGGGTGATTCCACCAAGACTACATCCATGTTTATATACAGTCTATGATACACACACACATATGAAAGAAAATACTATTAATCACAAAATGTTAAGATTTAAAGATTATAGCGATTGGAAACGAGATATGGAATTTTATAATAAAAATGTCTAATCTCCAATGACTCACAATTTAAAAAGATTCACTAGATATTTGGGAACTAAATAAATTATTTAGCAAAAAATGAAATGCAGATGGTGGACAGCAGAGGGGGATAAAGGAATTTAAAAAATAATTAGTCACAGAGTATACAGTGACATCCTGAAGGCAACCTTAAGAATTCACCTGCTAAGATGTGCTTAGGTTGACTCAATATGCTCACAAAGCAAATCAAACATGGAATAATATTACCTGACAGCCATGAGAAGTTCATTCAAATAAATTCATACCTTTTACATTTCTTTATTAAAGTTATGCAAATAAAAATAAAATGTTAAATTAATGTAAAGTATCCACCAGCATGAACTAATCCTATTCTAATCCAACCTCCTCAGTTAACTTGTGACAGTGATCGTGTTTCTGTCATCTCTGATCTAAATGTGCTTGTTGATTCATCTGAAGATCACGTTCTGCTCAAGCTGTCTAATTTTGTAACCCAACGAAATCCCCTTTCACACTCAGCCTGAAACGTCAATGTATAGATAGAGAAGACATCTTTGCACTGGAGAGATGTCATCCTTAATAACGTGCTTGGTTATATGTTGCCTATTATTCACAGCTAACTTATAATGGTTGTGTGCAGATGTCCCTTGTTTTATTTGCATGTCCAGGGATTTCAAACAGAAACAGATTTAACCTATTGGGATGTGGAGGAGCTGCAAATGTTATGTTTGGACAGACAGGTCAGGATAACTCTTTCCCCTTGTTTCCTGTCACAAGGATAAGCTGTGCTGAGGGGTTGCTTGCGCTAGCTGTAATACATTTTGTGAGTGTGTTACCATATCAACTCAACAAAATAGCCTAAACAACAAGAACTGAACTTCCTGAAATGTCAAGCATATTCTTCTCTGAGCAAGGCCTGTATGGTGTTGATTCATGTTGCTCTTTCCAAAAGTAGGCCTATAAAGTTAATACGATTCTGAATCTGTCATGTTGGAAAACAAACTTGAATAATAAATAATTAGGCTATAATTAAAATGAGCTCAAGGGTAGACTATAGTTGGCCATATTACAATTCCCGGATGGTTTTCTTTTGAGTTCAATGGCTCTGCTGCTCTTTTCCTAACAGTAGGCTATTGCCATAAGAAAATCTGGCCTTTGAATGACTCCTGACCAGCTTGAAGGGTGGAGGGAGGGGGCTATGTAGGCCTAACTGAGGGGGAAATGATAAATCATAGCCAGGCAGGCAACACTGATGGAGTAAAAATGATAAACAGTTGGATATCAAGAATTTAAAGTATGAAGGGAGGGGGCAGCTGTAGGCTGAAAAAAGATGATGTTATGGCGAAAGCAAGATCTGAAGAGCTGATACATTCAGGAACGCGATAAGGGAAATGTGTTTCTGGACAACTGACTTTCCTCCACCAAAACACAGGCTGGATTAGACTTTGAGGTCCTGTGTAGGCAAGTGTTTTCATTTTGAATGGTAGACTATCTGAAGCTTGGTGGGTGGGTAGGGCTATAAGTTCATTTGGGGTCATAGCTTTTCTAAAAAGTCCTAAAAAAAAAAAAAAAAAAAAAACTAAGATCAGCCTGAGGACGTCGGTGATGTACAGAAAACATTTTTTCTCACATGTCTCAGTCCTTCCCACAAAACAGTGACGTGATGACAGTGACAAAATGAAAAGCAGGGAGTGGACTTGGGGGGTTTGTCCAGCGCCTTAACTTTCACTCTTGTTCTCGCTCCAGGGTTAACCTTTCCGTTAATTTACTTCCAATACCATCAGGAAACACACAATGCTTTTCTGTGAAGTGATTTTTGTTTTGTCTTTGATGACATTTCTACTCGACTTCCACGCGTCGGGCTGTGGTAAGTTTTCAGAAATGTAATTTATCTGTTCGGCTGATCGTTTGCCTTCTGTTGTGCTTCTGGTAGACTTTCTATCAAACACGGTATCATAGGCTATTATGTTTTGTAGGCTATTATTGTATGAGGGACAAAAAATTACTAAAGTCTAAATAAAAATATTAAATAAATAAATGTTGGGAGAAATGCATACAATAATGTATAATTAAATAAATGTATCAATAAATATATATATGCTGAAAACAATACATCAATGAATAAATAATGAATACACTTGGTTAATGAAAAAGGCTATTTATATATTTTTACATGTATTTATTCATTCATTAGCGTATTTCTACAGTTATATATGCATCAATGCATACATTTCCACATTAATTGAGTTATTAATTTATTTCCATATTTTTACATTTACACATCTATTTATTTCTGTGTCCAGGTTGTAAGAGGAAAAGTATATATGTAAATTTGCTTCTGTCTGTTTTTCAAAATTGACCAATCCTACTTCAGTAATGTTACGACGGCCCACTTAATTTCCATATTTACTTTTCCTTGTACAACATGGACACAGAAATACATAAATAAATATATGAATATATGTATTTATATATTAATTGTTGACTATTGAATTGTTGCATTTATTTATATATATTTATTGATGCATTTATTTATTTATTTAGCCTATACATTATTGTATGCATTTCTCCCAACATTTATTTATTTATACTTTAGTCATTTTTTGTCCCTCATATTATTGCGTAGGCTCTTTATATTCTTATCGCATGTTTCTTTTTATCAGATGAGGTAAAAATGGATAGTTGTTGCTTTCTGTCATTAAAATATAGCCCATTCACGTCTTATCAAACGTTTTATTTTATTCTTAAAACCTAATTGTGACCGGATATAGTGGTGGGCGATATAACGATCTTAGATCGTGAAGGATTTTAACTTGCTGACGATCTGCCAAAGCAGAGAGATCGTAGAACCGGGCTAATGTGTTTATTCTATCACATTAGATCACGCTCCTTTTTTTGCTCCGCAGCGGTGAAAACGAAAACGAAACTTAAAAGTAAAGTCCGCAAAAACAACTCCATCTCGGTTATATGCAACTGTTGTGATATTTTTCCAAACCGACCCGCTGTGAGCAACAGTTAACTTATCTGCATAGTGTGCACAGTTAAGATTAGTCTACATCTCAGATAGCGGAGAGACGTTAACAGTCAGAGACAGACAGGGCGCAGCTCAGACAGTCAGTGGAGATAAAACCCCGGTGTTTAAAATGTTGCTGTCGGTGTTTTCTGCTCTCTCTCAGTTTTTAAAAGTTACTTATCAAGCCTCTCCACCAGAAGCTCACCTGTTGTGATAACGGAACCTATAGGGATTAGGCTAAACGACGTTACAAAGCAGCAGGCAGGTGAGAGCGAGTAACCATGGTGACTGTACTGCGGCCAAGCCAGGCGCTCCTCGCTTTTACACGGTGAAGTGAGCCGCCCCTAAATTTGAAGTGCTCACGTATTCTGATCTTTATGGTAAATGCTCTGGACTGCAGAGCGAGCAGGAGTAACAGACAGAGAGAGCGATTTTGACCCGTTATTAATCTCCTTTTCCAGGCAAAAGTAATAATTACCGAATTCTTACCATAAACTGGCTATGAGATACACGTGTATGAAACGGGAGCAAACAAAATACTGTTCAGGGAATAGCTCCGGAGGTCGGTGAAATTAGTTTGAGAATAATACTGCGAGTCTGCGGTAACTTCCGTTTTTCAAAATAAGGTGTTTTCCTGGGAAAAACATGTAAGAAAATATGTTCTTACACAAGTAGACAATGATTCTGATATGGTTGGACTTAATACTTCTTAGACTTCGTGCACAGGTACTATGAAGTACTTTTACTGTGTACTTTTTGAGAAATCCACTGTCAAAGTCCCTTATAAATCACTATAATGAGTCTTTTTTCTGACTTTGATGTCTTGTAAAAAAAATTCTTCCATAAGTAGACAATGATTCTGATATGGTTGGATGTAGTACTTCTTAGACTACATGCACAGGTAGTGAAGTACTTTTACTGTGAACTTTTTGAGAAATCCACTGTCAAGCTCCCTTACACTGCACAGCTCTCTGCAGTGTTTTGAATGTGACAGTACCAATTTGATACGCTCTTTAACAGCTACATGTTGCACTTTTAATATTTTGCAATAAACACACATACAAGCATTTTTCAAATATTAATAATCTTTCACGAATAAAAAATTACTATTGACATTTTTTTACATTTATTATAAACATTAAAAAAAAATTAGAACATACATATGAAATTACAAAGACTATGAACACCAACAACTATATACATCTATCTTTTTTCTTCAAATTTGAACCAATACAAATATTAACAAAGATTTAAACAAACAAAAAATACGGCCATCAAATTAAAAATATGAGATACGTTTTGTCCCAAGCGCTCGCATGTCTTTATTTGGTAAGACCACATGACATTTTTAAGTGTTTTATTTTCTGCCCTAACTGCAAAGAGCACAATCCCAATTGTTCACCCTTGCATGTTGGAGTTGTTGTTCATCCATGGCTAGGCACTGCTCATGGTACCATCTTTGGCATGTCTCACACTGTTTCTGTAAAATAAAATGTGCAAACCTTGTCAGGAATAGAGAATCTTGTGGAATAGAGAAACATTTCTATAGGCAGGGCAATCTATACACATAATCATCTTCTATTTAGGTTTGTATGTGGGAATTTGTGTCCACTACATTACTCTTTGCAAAAGTTTGCAGCATGTTTGCAATAAAATCCAACTCCTTATAATGTAATTGTATTATGTACTCAACAACTGAGCTCCGATCTCCCACGAGAAGACTTAAATCTAATATAATTATTGAGCATATGCATTTATTTTTTAATTTGTGGGGGGAATGATGAAGAAGAGGTTGGTTTTTGAAAGAGTACAATCTCTGGTAACACATGACAGCTTCTTTTTCTTGATTTTGTGAAAATCCTTGTAATTTCAAGCATTCCTTTTTTTTCCATATGTGCCATAAACTTGCTTACTTTCTATATCTTTGAATTATTTAAAAATATTTTGTTAAAGTATCAAGGGGTTGAGGCTGGACTGAATTTCATTGTGTAGTGATCTGCAATGACAATAAAGGATCCATCCATCTATAACTAACAAAGACCTTGGCCCTCCAAATCCCTCCCAAAGCCCTCCAAGTTACCGCAGACTCGCACAATTATTCTCACACTAACTTCCCCGACCTCCGAAGCTATTCTCTGTGCAGTATTCTGTTTACTCCAGTTTTATGGTAAGACCTAGGCATTTAGCACTTGACGTCATCGCTCTCTCTGTCTGTTACTCCTGCTCGCTCTGCAGTCCGGAGCATTTACCATAAAGATCATAATACGTGGGCACTTCAAATTTAGGGGCGGCTCACTTCACCATGTAAACTCGAGGAGCGGCTGGCTTGACCGCAGTGTGACTGTCTGTCTGTCAATCAACAATGTCCCGCCCCCTCTATGAATTAAACTCTTCTGTCAGTAAAACTTACTTTGATCTTGTGTCACAGAATGAACACATTCTGTATTATGTTTGATTATATATAAACTAAACTAAAGTTAGTCCAATGATCTCATAGAAAACCACGAAGGCTGCAGAGCCTGTATGAAACTACAGCTGTAGGAACTCTGCAGTGCTAAAATAGAACAGAAACACAAGAACTCAAAGTCTACATGTTTTTAAATGAATGCATCACTGCGTGAAAATGTTCCTGATAAACATAAAAAGAGGACACATAACTAACTCCTAATTTCAAAGTGGTGAGGAAAACCTTCAAATTGTGCATAAATATCAATCAAATCGAGGGGAAGACATTTCTGTTGCTAAAGATGTTCTGGGTGGGAGACCTCCAGACCTCCTACAAAGATGTTTCTCAAATAGATTAAACTTGTCAGCGCAGTTTTTGTGCATTTAAAAACATTATAGAGGGAAATAAGTCTGGTTGAACTGGTCAGTAACTTACAGATTTGTCTAAAGAGCAGTATGAAAAAAAACGTGATGGGATCGGGATTTTGCGAAAAAAAAAATATGATATGGTATTTTCCCATATCGCCCACCTCTAACCGGATGTACATTTTAGACAAAATGTTTAGTGCAAATGATCCTGTATTGACTTAAAACATATCTTTTTCTTATAATCTGAATATTTTCTTAGCATTCTGTCAGCTATGGGGCTCCTTGGTGTTTTCGCGCCCAGGCTTACTTAGCCATTGTTGATGTTGACCTAAAAAACAGAACCTATAGGCATTTATATCAAGTATGATAGGCTATATTTAGAAATAGGCCTAAATTAAAAATGCAATGTAAAACTAAAGCATTTTGAGGCTTATGCAGGTTTAGCAGGACTGCATTAAAAGACCAGACAGAAACACTGTTATAACAACATAAGTTATGGTTGATAGACACTGAATGGCTTCTTTAATAAATATGAGCAAAATTACAGTTTTGGATTGAGACAGTTGTTTTACATTCAGTTCTCAAATCTTCACTCTTCTTGTTTGTGTTACAGTTTTCAACTGTAAAGATAAACCTGTGTTCACTCCATCCCGGCTTGTGGTCAAGTATGGTGACCCAGCGTCTGTGATCTGCACATGTCAGCAAGAATGCCTCAACGAAATATTTAACATAGAGCATTCTGTGGGAAAGGTAACAATAAACAGAACCACAATTTCCTGGAATATTGATAACTTCACTGACTGGACAGCTCGTCTCCAGTGCTATTACAATAAGGCTGCTGAGAATGTTTCTGATCCTGATGTCCAGTGCTGTACCGTCCTGCCCCTAACCGTATACAGTAAGTAAACCTGCTGATGAACTAAATGAACAGAATACTGTTGCTTGTGTGACAATTGTATCATTGAGAAACAAAATAATATGCCTATTAATGTATTCAACCCAAGCTCTCTTTGTGTTTGTCTCCACAGAGCCCCCAGATAAGGTGTCCATCAGCTTTGCTAACCACACCGGGCCATTGATAGAGGCTCATCCGTACACTCTGCAGTGTACAGTACATAATGTTGCTCCTGTTGAAAAAGTCAAGGCAATCTTCTACAGAGGACATTCAGTTGTTGGTCAAGTACAGGTTAACAACAGTTATGGGGGAAAACCAATGACTCATTCCTATACTTTGGACGTCATCCCCCATAAAGGTGAAGATGGTGCTGCGTATTGGTGTGCAGCAGAGCTTGTCCTGGGACCTGAAGGACCACAGCCCCCTCCAGTGGTGATATCTCAAAACATGACTACCACTGTATACTGTGAGTCTGATAACAAAAATCTTCTTCAGTTATGAAAAAAATAGATTTTCATCAATTTCTTGAATAATTATTGAGGCAATGGGTCACATGACTACTTGGTATGCAAAACCAGTTGTTTGTAATCATGACCCAGCATATTTGAATTACCCAACTCTGCATTTACAAACTGTAGATTCTTGTCAAGTGTTGTCTAACTTTGATTTGTGGGCAACCATGTTGAATTCTCAAATTTGGCACTGTGGCTGTTGCCATCTTAGTTTTTAAGCAGGAAGTGACCATATTTGAACAAAGGGGTAAGATGGGACATGGTAGCGAGTTCTCAATCACAAGCTAAACATGTTGTAGAGAATCATCAATTTTACTAACATTGAATCAGGAAATACCAAATGATCATCTCTCAGTGTTGAAGAAGACATGAAACGAGCAAATGAGACCATAGGTTTATTAAACCTAGTCAGAAGTAGTCTCATTTTTTCATAGAGTTACATTATACACTGACTTCTTTGGTCAATAAAAGAATGCAGATTTGAGGCACGTCCACATTGGCATTGTGTTTAAGACACTGAGGCTTCATCCTCTTCTTTTGTACAGTAAAATGTTTGTAATACAATATGATAACATATTTTGTATCGATTCGCAAAATAGCTATTAAATAGATCTGTGTCCGTCAATAAAGGTATTCAGTTAATTGTGAAAAAATATATCAAGCAAATGCCTGAGTAGTGAATAAATCAGGAGAAATAGGAGAAAATGTTGAGGTATCCTCCCACACTGCTCCTTTATAACGCATTGTATATGTGTTTAAATTAATATGTATACATTTTAAAATTGCTCCCATTTTAATCCTATGACGTGTTATGTTTCACCCACATTTTGTTAAAACACAGATGCGCCTAAGCTACAGGTGCCAAAACATCCAGGGTTGATCACCATCAATGAAGGAAACCAGCTAAAACTGGATTGCTCGTCTGATGGAAAGCCGAGTCCCTCATACAAGTGGACGCTTCCATCGGGTAGCCTTCACCGGAGCAGCATCCTCACTTTCGAATCTGCAGCTGCTGAACATGAGGGCAAGTACACCTGTACTGTCAGCAACGGCTATTGGAACTTCACTGAGGAGTTTCATGTGAAAGTCCATGGTGAGTTTTACATTTTTACATGTCCTCTCTTCAGTGATGTGGTTGTTAAATGAAATAAATCAGAATCAGAAATACTGAAAAGCCATGTTACTTTCAGGTGAGAACGTGACAGCAGAAGGGATCATTGCATAGATCACGTTCACACAGTAGCCATTTTCTTCTGACATCCTGCTCAGATTGGTTAATGCTGCATCATGGACGACTGGCATAAATGGTCTAGCAGGGCTAAACTCTAACATACAAATCAAGTCATATCTCTAAATGGGCTCATTGTGTTACAGTCCTTGCACTCTATTTTCTTCCTTAGTCTAAATGTGTGACAGGTGTCTTGGCATGCCCCTTTGATTTGCTGATCATTAATGACAAATTAATTCTGCCTACAAGCCATCGACTTCTGACCAATGTCACAACTGTAGTGTTAGACTGTAGAGATGATAAAAAAATCATTTATCTTCTCTTAACTTCACAATCTATTTTACTGAACACTGTGAAGTCTAATACATTCAATAGTTACAATTATCAAGATGCTAATTCTGTTAGCATGTTAATAACAATTTCCATTATGTTTAAGAATCAATCAAACAAACTAAGGTGTACATCCCTTTCCATCTGCCAGAAAGATCCACCACCCTGGGAAAAATGCACCAGCTGTCAGTTGTCGTTATATTGACTTATTGCTGGGTTCCAGGTTTCTGATTGAATAGATGTTAGAAATCTAAGAAAGCCTCATCATTTCCCTACTTCCAAACCAAAAACCTGTTTTTGTTGAATAATGTTTTATCCCCCCCCCCCTTTTTTTTTTTGTACTCATCTTTCACAGCCAACAACATCGTATACATTATACTTGGTATACTATTTGCTGTTGTTCTGCTTGTCATCATTGGTGTTATCATATGGACCCGCGACTACAAAAACGAACGAACGGGACAATACGACTTTGCGCGTTAGCTGCTTTTGCTCACCACATTCCGCCGTGCCCACCGTAGAGTGAAGAGTTGTATGAATGAAAAGAAATAACTTGCTCTATTCACACTGAACTTAACTTTCGGTAAAGCTCAGTTGAAAACTGTGTTCACTGTTTAAGGAGGGATGTACATAGCTTGGAGTATTTTGTGAATTGGTGAGTGAGTGAACATTTCTCAGCTCATATCTTCTGATCCGGTTTATCAGATAACTTATCTGACAGCAGGGTTATGCTGTCTTTTTATGTTCCAGTCCGACTGAATAATGACATCTCTCTTTTCGTGTCTGTAGTGGTCAGTTCATTTGTGTCTAATAAGGATAAGAGACAGGTCACATGATTTTTAACTGCTCTTTTCAGCAGGGCACTATGTTTTGTTATCAAACATTATTCTTATAGGATAAAAGGGCATTTGGTCAAAGACTATTTTCAGCTCCAGGGTAATATATATTTGATGTTATTACACAAGCTATGTCTACATTCTCTTAGTATTGGTGTAAACTTTACAGATTTGAGTTTAAGTAACTACTTGTTAGTTTGTTTGTTCATAGTTTGGTAAAATGGAAAGACGCTGTTTGAAGTTGAGATGTTCACTCTTATCACATTAAAACAGGTTTCTTATGTGAACTGATAGGAGGTAAACCTCAAGAGTGAAAATAGTCTATAAATACAGATGTTTAGATCCAAAAGAACTTGAGAAATGTGTAATATTGTCATGTGCCAAATCTCAATCAATTTCAATATAAAGTGAAAGTGCTGTTATAGAGGACACATTATGCCCCTTTTGTACCTTTTCAAACAGTCCCTGTGGTTTGATTGAAACATCTGTGCTGTGCTTTGGTCAAAATATAACATGAATCAAGCACCAGAGGAGGTTTGTGACCTGTATGAACCAGCTCTCTCAGAGCACTCGGTTTTGGGGTGTATGTCTCTTTAAATGTAATGAACCCTCCCTGAGTTTTCCTAGTCTACCAAATGATGCGAATTATATATTATATTTGTTGTTGTGTTTTGTTGCTTAGCTAGTTAACTGTATTCTATGATTTTATTTTGAAAGCTCAGGCATTGGTGAAGTCTAAAAAGAAAAAGGGGTAAGACTAGTTTTTTTCACTTCATCCTTCACCATTTTCCAACATGGACTTAAAAATAATACAAAAAAGGAAGTTCTCGTTGTTATTTTCTTTGTCTGTTTGTATATTTTTTTGCTATTTTTAATATGTTTTTAAGAAATATAAAATGTGAATGAAAGAAAAATGTGTAATGCTATAATTATCAACAACTGTTGTGCATATTGGCCAATATGAAAGTTCCCATAAACAAAGTGTAACTGTTTGTGATTCTTGCTGTTTAGTTTCATCACTCTGAAGGACTTTATTCCTAGAGGTGCAGGAAGTGTATTGTTATTATGTAAATTATATAAGCTTGATTTTGTGTGTGTGTGTGTGTGTGTGTGTGTGTACTCGCTTGAATAAAATACTAAGCTCCAAAATGTATTGTTTATTTTATTAAGTGAATAAGTGAAAACCTTTGTACAAACAATAGCCTATAGTCAGTGTCTTTAAGAGATATTTCATTGCAATTTCAAGTAACTACAATGGCATTGAACTAAAATGGAGCTCAGCGTAAGTTCAGACAGGAAGACTGCTTATTTCTTTCACAAATTCATTCATCCTTTCACTTCAACCTAAACTACTTCTCGTCTACCTGCTCTGGTGATCAGCTCATAATCAGCGTTTATTCTTCAAGTACGGTAATTAACCAACCAGATTCGGGCACAACCTTCTCAGCCAATCATCTGCTGCAGCAAAATGCTAAAACAGTTCTCTTCTCTTCCACAGTCATTCTGTCATTTCAGGGCAACCGCTTCAAACCAAGGGGCAACCTCCGGTCTCGAAAAATGAAGCCTATGCGGAAGTACAAAAAACTGCAGTTCCTCGAGGTTCCGCTTGAGGCTGGCTGCAGAAGCGCCGGAAGTGCCATAAGCCACAGCCAAAAAAGCCCGTTTTTACCACAGGAATCAACATGTTTACAGCCTGGTTCAAAAACGAGATGTATCTGAGAAGTTGACGGCCCCTTCTCCTCAACTGTGGGGGGGTGAATTTTTTTATAACTCATCGGATTTTATTCTATTAAGGAAAACGACTATGCCCATATTTGGTTGTGTCAGATTTGATTGACAGCTCTGCGCGGTCAGCAGGTCAGGAGGCTAACAGCTTGATCCGTCTGATTTCTCCTCTTTTTTACTTCGTTTGGAGAGTTTGTTTAACACATATCTGACAACATACATGGCTTGCTGTGCGGTTAACAGACCATCCAAGAAGTTGATGCTTCAGTTTTCTTCGGTAAGTGATAAAGTAGTGTTATATTTACTGCTTACTCGTGTTTATATTTACGGACCTAGCTTGTTTAGCGTTAGCTTGTAAACCAGTCGGCTAACTGTGTAGCTCATTATTTACATTATTTACATTATTTACGGTCAATGGTTTAGAAATGTTTGTTGTTAAGATGTTGTTGTTGAAAATAGTGAGTTTGTGTGATGTTAGAAGCTAAAGGTTCAGCTCGGTGGTTAACCACAGACTGTAAATATGGTTATCTGACGTTATGATGAATGTTATACTCCACGTAAATGTGGACATTAAAAAACAAACTTTGTGTAGTAATTATCCGTCAGTAACATAAACTGAACTGAACCTAATGTGCTGTGTAGGTTATAGAGGATGACATTAAAGTTACATGGTTGATGTAGTGTCTTAAGATTTGAGCAAACTGTTAA